AAGATTCAACTAGTTCAACTAGAAGCTGCAAATGCAATAGCAGCAAGGTGTTTACCTATGGGTGGATGTGAAAAGACATGGTTGTACTTGGCCATTGCATCATTGAACACTCTCATGTCATGTACTGAACCAGACCATCCAGCAAGAACAAATGTCAACCTCATGTCAAAGTCACAAACAACCATCACATTTTGTGTTGTCATGCCCTTGCAGCACATGTGCTAAACCAGCCTATCACTTGGCACCACACATGGTATGTGAGTGCCATCTATTGGTCCTATACAATTGTTGAAGAAGGGATGGAACCTAGGGTTTCTCGATCTAGGATGAATTGTTCAGAAGTTTGGGTCTACTGACTTAATGATGTCTGCAGCTAGCTTAACCACACATTGCTTGTTTCCTTCATCTACACCACACTCTCGAGCCAACTGCTGCACATACCTAATATTTTCTGCTCTGGCAACCTCCTTCTGCTAGGCAAGCTGATAGTCAATCTGTTGCTTGTTTTCCAGATGTTTCTTGAACATCATATTCCTCTCAGCTTGAATCCTAGCGTTCTCGCTCTTGAACTTGTCCATGCTCCTAACTGCTGGGCTCTTGGACTTCTTGTTGGGACTAGAGCCAGTGGTGCTTGTGTTGCTTGCTCTCTTGTGGCTACTGATGCTCACTGGGGTCTGCACATCAAGGTTCTTAGGTGGCTCCTCCTCCACTTCATCATCCACAACGACACTTTTTCCTTGAACAAATGAGGTGGAGCCATCAACAGCTACACCATGGAACATTTGGTCCAATTCATTAATGTAACCTGGCCTCCCACTCTTGCATTTCTTCCAGTCTGGGTGGCCCTGTAGAACTTATCTTTGTGAGCAAGGGTAGAGCTTACTAGACATAAACAACAAACAAGTAGTTTGGCAATTACCTTAGTGTTGTCTTCCCAACATTAATCAGTGGCATCAATAGTTCCATCAGATCTACGGCCTAAGCTAGTGTCATTGTGCAGTCTTTGTATGAATTGTCAATATCCCTTCAATTGCCTAATCTATTGCTGATCTAGGTTCTATCATGAACCAAATTGGTTGCAAAAGAGTACCTTCTTATGACCTCCCTCATCCCTATCTTGTTCAAGACACCATTCACGGAGTTACCTTTAGTAATTTGGTCAACCCAAATTACACATAGTTTCTCGGTATTTGGTTCTGACCAATTCCCCCTGTCGACTCTATCCTAAATGATGCGTAACAAGAATATGAAGACGGCAAAAATAAAACAAATAGCAAATTTTTCTGGGTTCTAAAAAAATACTGGGATTTGAGCATTTGGAAAGATCTGTTGGATCTCGTCATCATCAGCTTCATTTGGGTTCTTGACATCTAAGTTATCTTCCGCAACAGCTGACGTCGCGGGTCATCGACGTCCACCGCGGCTCCTAGATTCGGCAGGCGCACCGGATGTAGATCCACGCGAGGCGCGCACGCCGGCGGTCATAGGAGGCAACGGAGGTCCACGGCCACCACCAGAGGAAGACGACAAGGCACGAGCAGCCGTGGCGCCTCCTCCAACGCCAGTGCGAACCGTGCGTAAGTCGAGGGTACGACTACCGCTGTGGACACGAACAGGAGGGGGACCCATGCTGCCGTCGATCCCTCCACCTAGCGGGCCGGAGAGAAGGTGGCCCTCATAGCCTACCATTCCGGGCCACTCTTGGCCATGGGAGTTGAGGTCGAGCGCCGCCATGCCCGCTCGGGGAGCATTAACGCTGCTCGAGCCCAGAAAGGGGTCGCGGTTCCGCCATGTGGGCGCAGGATGGGCGCTGGCCATGGTTCCATCGTGCGGGCACGGGATGGGCGCGGGGCATGGTTCCGCCGTGCGGACGCGGGGCGTGGTTCCGAACGCTGGCTTTGGATGGGGACGGGATGGGGTGCGTGAGATGCGATGAGGGCATGGGACCCGGGAGCTGCGTTCGGACGTTCGAACGCTAGCCTTACCGCATTGATTGAGTTGATCCCTACCTTGCATTGATTGAGTCCGATCCATACATACCTCGATTAAGTTCGATCCATACCTTGCATTGACTGATGAGTCCGATCCTCCCTACCAGCCTAATTGGAACCTGACCTATTACCATAGCTTATGCACGATTAGAATCATGTTTTCATGTCTCACTTGATGCACTACTACGAAAGCATTTTTTGATGTAGTGAAATCGATTTTCAAAGATAGTTTTTTTTGCTCGGCCCTATATGAAATTATCTGAAAATGGATGGTTTTCACATTTCAGAGACGGTAACAAACTACCCCTTGATGAGTGAGCCAACTGCCTTTGAAAATCAAGTTCTAGATGCGGTCGACTTGGAGGTCAACCTCTTAATACTGATTTTCACAAAAGAAAAAGCAACACTAAAAATAGCAAAAAAAACTAGGATTGCCCCATTAGCAAACCACCATAATCGCGGACCATAAGTCATATGTAACGTGATCTTTCACGCGAGTGTGCTCTTAGGATAACCTGAGACCTGCCTCCTTACTATCTCACAATCATATACATCACTTTTGACTATAATATAAATAAATATAATATTATTTTGTATTCACCCTCCCAAATTTTGTAGTGCGCATTTGACACTACACGGTTTTAAATGAAAAGTTGTGAACTAGAAATAGATCCCATTATAGAGTGTGTCCATCCCAAGTGTTTTGAAAATTCAAGGTTTTGGATTTCAAAATCTGAGAAAGAATATCTGGGCTTCTAAACAATCTCAAATCTTAAGACTATCAACAACAAAGCTTTTGATCTCATCACTCGCTCTATAATTTGATATAAAGTTTGTTCACACTCGACTTCATATATGAAAATGTTATAGATTACTTGGGTGGCAACTATTTTGAAAGGTGGTTTCTCATCAGAAACCCCTTAGAAAATCTACTTGAAGTGCCTGTGAAGATATCCCTATTTTTTTAGGCGGCTTTCTTTAAGACGCATGCCTGTGAAGATTGGTTTCTAGAGGTTGGCTTTGGGCTTGCATCCATTATATTGAGCCCCTTGACTATTTCTGGAGGTGGGTGCCATTTTCAACCACCACAGAAAATAAAATGGGTTATCTCCAAAAACATTTTTGTAGTAGTGTGTTATGAATTGGATGGAATTGGGATGGATATTATGAGATGATGATATCCTGCGTCTTGAAAAGCAGTTTCAGGCTCCACATGTTGGTTAGCATTTTTTAACAGAAGCACTTTTCAGAAGTTGAATTGAACCAAACACAGCCTTAATTTAAGTTGAACTAAAGACAGCCTTAACATTACAAAACATAAGTATAGCGGTATTACAAAGAAATTCAAGCAAATGAAGAACCAGATTTGTTTTCTCTCTCCTCCACCATAGATCTAGTTCTAGATCTAGATCTAGATCACCCGAAACATGAAAAAGAGCAGAATAAGGATACGGAGCGCATAGCAACCTCCTACGGTGTCCTCCTTCAAGGAATCGAAGAGCAAAACTCCTCCCCCAAAAATGGTGTTTTTTTGGAGTTTTAGATTTCAAACCCTGTCAAAATGAAAGGGTGAGCTCGTGGAGGAAGAAGATGTGGGTGGTGCGGAGCTACCTTTATAGGCAGGGATTAGCAGAGGCGGGCATCCCAAGGACGGCCGCCTCCCCGTTAATAGACCATTAACAGATGACGTCGTTTTAGCAACACCGTCTCTATTAATCTATTCACTGAGACAGCTGACTTAAGCTGTCCGCCTCCGTTAATAGACCATTAATGGAGGCGGTTGTGTAAAGGCGGCCGTCTCCGTTAACCATCAACCGAGGCGGACGCTCAGCTGCGTACCCTAGCAACGATTAATGGAGGTGGCACCCTATTGTGTCCACCTCTGCTAATCTGAGGCCAGTGTCTCACGAAATTATTTGTGTAGCAATGGTTGTGCGGTCTCGCGGAAAATATTGTTGTCACACTGTCAAGTGTCAAACTCACTTAAAGTTATAGAACACTGGTGAAGAGGTTCGTGGCTGGAAATTTAAAACTGACAACCGATTTGTATGGTACCAGGTCACGGTGGTGACGGCGTAAGTAAGCTACATTGTGACTCCGCACACTTCTAGCGACCAGCAGCGAGGTGGAAGCGGCTAGGCCATCGCTCTATCTATCATGCTCCATAAATAGATAGCTACAGGTCGGCCTATGCCGCACATCTCAGTGAACCCTAGCAGCATCTGATCTAGCTACTAGCTTTACCCTCCTATACCACCTTGTCCTTTCAATTCGCACACATATATACATAGTGTGCTATAAGCTAGTTTGAGCGAGCTGAGGATGATGATGGCAACAACACCACTTCTTGCGATGCCTGGACACGGAGTGCCCTGCGAATCAGCAAATACTAAACAAAACTACTACTCCTTCAAACTTGCATCATCTGCAAGAACACGAGACGCCCTCCCACGGATAATCAACTGGTACATACACTCCATGCGTTATACGTATCGATCTACTAACAACGTGTTTAATTTGTGTGACTCGTTATTATAATAAGTCTGTTCTAATTTTTTTTGTTTCTCAATCTACTACTCGATCCCTCCGTTTCATAAGACAGTTTCGTTTTTTTTAATACATAGCTTTTAGTGTGTATCTGGACATGGGTGTTTAAGACTGCTCAACTCCACATTTTTCAGCTCCGCTCTACGTTTTTTTAGCCAAACGATTTTAGCTCCACGCACTTCAGTTTTTTTATAGAGCTGCTCTATGGTGGAGTTTGTGGAGCTAGTCCCAAACACCTCCATAATGTTTCTATAGCAAAAATTGCACATCTAGGATGGTCAGAACGATTTAAAACTTAGAATGAAGGAGTACTGTATTGTCCTCCGATACTGTCTCGTGTAGGACAAATTAAATCTTGTACGTGCAGTCTCATATGTATGTCAACGACATGCATGTCATGAACGTTGAGCGCGTACGTGCTAGTGCAGGAGGTGCAGGAGCAGTCATAGCAGCAGGGGGGCCATGACCATGGCCGCCCCTGTCCCGCCTGTCCTCAAGCGGCGGGGCAAGCAGGACGAAGAGGAGGAATGGATGGGGTACCTGGCTCCGGAGAAGCTGGAAGTGCTGGCGCACCTGGAGCCGTGGGCGGAGGCGCACGTGCTGCCGCTGCTGAAGCCGGCAGAGGAAGCGTGGCAGCCGTCGGACCTTCTCCCGGACCCGGCGGCGCTGGGAGACGAGGGCTTCCACGCGGCGTGCCGCGAGCTCCGCGCGCGGGCGGCCGGCGTGCCCGACGCGCACCTCGTCTGCCTGGTGGGCAACATGATCACGGAGGAGGCCCTGCCCACGTACCAGAGCGTGCCCAACCGCTTCGAGGCCGTGCGCGACCTCACGGGCGCCGACGCCACCGCCTGGGCGCGCTGGATCCGCGGCTGGTCCGCCGAGGAGAACCGCCACGGCGACGCGCTCAGCCGCTACATGTACCTCTCCGGCCGCGTCGACATGCGCCAGGTCGACCGCACCGTGCACCTCCTCATCGCCTCCGGGATGGCCATGAACGCCGCCAGGAGCCCCTACCACGGCTTCATCTACGTCGCCTTCCAGGAGCGCGCCACGGCGATCTCGCACGGCAACACGGCGCGCCACGTCGGCGCGCACGGCGACCACGTCCTCGCGCGCGTCTGCGGCGCCATCATGGCCGACGAGAAGCGGCACGAGGCGGCCTACACGCGCATCGTCGGCAAGCTCTTCGAGGTCGACCCGGACGCGGCCGTGCGCGCGCTGGGCTACATGATGCGCCGCCGGATCACCATGCCGGCCGCGCTCATGACCGACGGCCAAGACGCCGACCTCTACGCGCACTACGCCGCCGCCGCGCAACAGACCGGCGTGTACACGGCCTCCGACTACCGCGGCATCCTGGAGCACCTCATACGGCAGTGGCGCGTGGAGGACCTCGCGGCGGGGCTCTCCGGCGAGGGGAGGCGCGCGCGGGACTACGTGTGCGGGCTGCCGCGCAAGATCCGGAGGATGGAGGAGAAGGCCCATGATAGGGCGGCCCAGGCCCAGAAGAAGCCCACGTCTGTCCCGTTTAGCTGGATCTTCGATAGGCCCGTCAGTGTCGTGATCCCGTAATTTTCCTCAAAAAAAAAATCACTGTTGTGTGGATGCATAGTAATGTGTGTCGTGTGTGGGATATGCTTGCAATAAAAAGAACACTGCGCTTTGCGTGTATTCTGCTGCATGCACTGAAATAGAGAAATCAAAGAACAGTATTATTAGCGCATTTTAGCCAAGAAGAGAGCCAAAATTGGTGGTGGTTGTCAAAATACATCATCAGTTCCAAAGCCCTGGTATCTAAACGGAACAGAACAAGATGCTTTGATTTTCAACTAAACCCTTCCCGCGATGCTCTGGCGACCGCGCCACGTCATCATCCAGCGCCGAGCCCCCATCCACCTCACCCGTCGCGGAGGGGGAGACAGGGGAGGCCTGCGCCCACACCTGTGGCTGCGCCCCTATCCATCTCGCGCTGTCGGTAGGAAGGGGAGGCCTGCGGCATCGCAGTTCCCCACCAAGTAGGCCATGGCGCGCGGCGGCGACGCCGTGTTTCAAGTGTTTCATGTGTTTTCAAACATATTGCAAGCCTATGTTTCGAGTGTTTTAGACGTATGTTTCAAGTGTTTTGTACGGATGTTGCAAAAGTAGATCGGATGGTGCATATGTTGCAATGGTTGTATACGTATGTTGCAAGCGTCTGTTCCCAATATTTTATCTGTGTTTTCAGACGTATGTTGCAAATGTGCTGATCTAGATGTTGCGTATGTTATCACACATATGTTGCAAGTGTTTTATCTAAATGTTGTGTATGTTTACAACGGTTTCCAAATGTTTTTCAGACTCGTGTTTCATTTGTCTCCTTTTGTATGTTGCAAGTGTTGCATCTAGAAGTTTCAAAAATTGATAAGGTGTTCCAAATGAAATGTGCGTGGGAAGTGAGAGGGGGCGTGAGCAGTCCTCACACGTGGTACGACGACATCCGTGGCAGCAAGAGCCCACTGGGCACTCACTCGCAAGTCCGACGCTGCTAGGTCGCTCACTCGCTCGTTGCACGTGCACCGGCTGGATCAGATGTCCAGACACTAGCAAATCCGAAATCAGTTTGAGCTAGTTGAAACTTGAAAGGCTCCAAAAACTTTTCTCTCTCTCGATCTTTAAAGTCCCTATTGGCACCGGCGCCACTGTCTGCGCCACTCTTCCAGGATGGGCAAGGCCCATGAGGGCAACCAAGGCACAAAGAGGGGGCCACACATAGCTTCTACAACTATTACTTGATACATGTTTGGTCCGTCCACAAGCAATAAATCATTTGCAGTTCGACCAGCTTACACAATGAACAAGGCAAAACCGAACCCACAAAACTCAGGCGATTCTAAGCTTCTGGTAACAGCGAGAGCTCAAGCACAAGTTATACAACCGTGCATGTTATTTCATTACAATCCTTCAACAGTATGGAGCCTCGTTGTACAAGCTTGAGTTACCGGAACCTGGCTACTGGCTAGCGACCTCAAAAATGTAGAAATAGGGGGCAAGATGTAACACACTGTTGAACGAGAAATTCGGGGGTAAGATGTAATACACTATTGATGCTATCATCTTCATACATTTTTCACTTCTTCCCGCCACCAGACACGTTGAATTTGAAAAAGATGACGTCCCCGTCCTGAACCACATAGGTTTTCCCCTCCTGCTTGTATTTTCCAGCAGCCTACAGCACACACATTCGAAATTCAATGCCCTGTTCGCTTGACTGATAAACCATGGCTGAAAGTACTGTTGGCTGATTTGTTGTGAAAGAATAGTACTATTCGTTGGCTGAAAAAGTACGGCACTTAACAAGAATGTCCTTGGGGAAGGAGTGTATACCTTAACAGCAGATTCACTGCCCAGTTCTTTCAGATCTTCAAACTTCATTACCTGACCCACAAAAGTAGAAGTAACAATCATATATGAAACTATACTGTTCAAACATGAATAGAGCTAGAGTAAACAATGCCAAAAGACTGGCCTCATCAGCTAGTATATATCCAAACATTTATAGTGTCAAGGTAAAAGAAAAATTGCAACAGGAATCGGATGCTATATGTTTTCTAGAAGACATGCCAGAAACTACATATTATTTCTAAAGTGCTCCTGCGGACACAGCCATACCTCATTTATAGTATACATAAATGCTACAAGATTCAAATCAGTTCATTGGTCTATTGCTGGCTTTAAATGGGCATGTATTATCTTGTATTTTTCCTTACTAAAAGTGTGCACAAGTATGAACATCAAAAAAAATGGAGGGGGTGCTGATAAATAGATATCATAGACAGAATTACCAAGAAGTCAAATTGAGTAACTTTAAAAGCATCTAGATTCACAAACAATCAAAATGGTCATCGAGTAGGACAGCTATCCAAAATCTGGTCCCGTTTAACTTATAGCTTATGCAAATCACAATAGTTAAAAACTATAGCCACTACTTAAATAGCAGAGGTTACCTCAGCGCATATGAAGCCCCTTTCAAAATCAGTGTGAATTGCACCAGCGGCTTGAGGAGCCTTAGTCTGACGTCTGATCTGCCAACACTTTACCTGAACAAAAAAATCACATTTGTTGCTGAACCAGATAATTCAAATCACATTCTCCTACTGGAAAAGTGCACATAGAAATGATCTTTCAAGTTTCAACTTCAACTATTTGCACAACTTTTCAAAAATATTCAAAACAGCGAAAGAAATTACTAAAGTTCAATGAAAAGCACATGAAGAATACTACAATTTGATAGGCAACTCTGTAGTACTGTTTTACTATTTTAGCAACACATAACAAAAGGATAGATTATGCTGCACCGAAAAGAACAAGTACCTCATCAGGACCAGCAGTGAAAAAGTATATCAGATGAATTGCTGCAAAACCAGTCTTGATAATTTTTGGGATCATGCTGCAGGGCATAATAGATAATATTTTAGTTGAAATTTAGAACCAATGAGAACTCGGAAAGTTGTCGAACAATTGACAGTTAGAAAAATGTTTTTTTCTTTCACAAATATTCGCCTTGTATAGAAGAATTATTTCAACATGATATTTGTCTTAGCGATGAACATTCCAGCTTCTCAAATTTTGAATTCCATAAATCATAGAAATAACATACATGTATTTTAAGATGTTAGTATGTCCTTGTAGAAACTGTCACCTCATGACATAGGTCCATAGCATCATTTGAAGCATTTAGCATGACCAAGCTAACCAACTCCAGTATCAAAAGTGTGAATTAACTTACCTTGTTATCTGGTTTTCGGCACAATATTTGGCAGCTTCATCTTCTGGCATATCCACTAGTTTCTGTTCAAAAGCACAGCTGAAAGGAAGTATGGTTTCACCACCATGTTCCTGCACCCTGATGAAAAAAAGTATATCAGCTTATGTGTGCTATAATACCAGCAAGCACATAACATACATTACCAAGGAATATATATCACATTATTGGACCAGTAAAGTGGCTTAGAACAGATATAACATGACTAAGATCTATAACATAAGGAAATTGCAATGTATTTAGGAAGAGTGTTTCACATAAGGCGGGTTCAAATGTAAAAAAAATAGTCATATGGCACATGTCACTTAACCTGGATATTGTGGTCCACTGTACAAGTATATCACAAAGATCCACCATGAACCAAAAAACAAGCTTTCTTAAATCTAAGTTCCATTTACAGATATGATGTGGCTCTAAAATAGCAGCTGATGTGGGACTAACTTGCCAGTGTGGAGCAATCTCTACCAGAAAGCAGGATCCAGATTTTAAAACATGTCATTTGGTTGTGCAACAAATGCCAAGAATCTAGGGTTGTCACTTGGATGGCAAAAACTAGCACTTTGGAAACAGTCTTCGAGAAACAATACCAAGCATGTATCTTGGGTAGAAACTTGTTCTTTTTTCTCTGGAAGTCCTTCTCACTCATATTCACCTGCACAAAAAAGAAATCGGTACAGCTCCCAAGTCATTTAATGGTCAGCCAAGCCATTGTAAAAGGCCATCTACAGTTACAAGTTGTAGCGTACTCATTTCAATTATCATAAAGGGTCAAATGGTCTCATCAAATGGTTAATTTAAACTGATTTGGTTGAAATTGGTTGGTTCCACAAATGAAAAATATGCATTTTCTTTTGTTATTACTTACTGCGCATGTACAAATAATAATGCATCATACAATACAAGGATAATTATTATGGAACCATTCAAGGCAAACTAAGGAACTAATACTGGTATCGAGTAAAAGCTCCAATACAACCAGCAGCAGAAATATAGATACAAGGAAACAGAACAGAGTGCATGCAAGAAGGTGATAGGCCATAACAAAACATGTAAAATATGTTCAACTAGAAAGGCATGCATAAAAAGTATCTTTTTCCTAAACCCAATATGACGCCAGTCCAAGCTAAAAACCATGGACAACTTGAACTTCAAAGTTTCTCATGGTAGACTATTGACTAATAGAATGGGTGCACAGAAAGAAGAAATTCATACCAAATAGACAACTGGCTTAGCTGAAAGTAGCTGGAATGTATTCAAGATCTCAATGTCAGCAGCTTTCCAATCTCCTAAACGGACATCTTTCCCTTCCTCAAGATGGGCTATGACCTGTCCAGGGAAGGGAAGGAACATAAGTTACTGATAAAGAATTTTCATTTTCAATTATATTTTATTAAGGCTGCTAAAAGACCCATAGTTATGCGGAAGAATTGAAGTAATTAATACCGCACCCTCTCACATAATTCATGCTCAATTTTGAGCTGCTTATCATTGCTCCTCTTCATTGACTTTTCAAGGTCCTCAAGTCTGTTTTTCATGAACTCTATATCCTGCACAGAAAATAGAATAGAACATCGTCAAAAGAAGATTTAAATGTTGTACAGCTGATGTTGCAAATCAACAAAATCCAATGAAACCTTTAGTCTGAGCTCTTCACTAATAGTTTCCATGTCTCTAACAGGATCTACTGTATCATCAACATGCGTAATTTCTGCGTCTTCAAATGCTCCTGAAAACCGTATGCAACACTCGATTAGTTAATAAAGATACAACAAAATGATGTGTAATTAATTAGTTAGTAACTAAACCTTGCTAAAGAACATAAATTTGCGAAGTGAATTACATGGACTAGTCATTTTGGGGTCCATTAGAACTACAAAATATTTATCATTTTTTATCTGTAATACAAAGTTACTAGCAACAATTACGAGCTATCAGCACACAACGAGAAACAAAAAGGGAAAGGATGCTAAACCAATTATTCAAACAGCTATGCACATGTTGTGAATAGATAACATATATACTGATAAGAATACACAGTTGCCAGCTTCTTTGATTATCACTCTTATCACAGATGTTGTTTGCCACAAAATGAAGCAATATGGTAGCCCTATTTTCACTTAATATCAGAGTAAACTTCTAGTTTATATGTAGTACAGACTAAAGAAGCATTAGATCAATCGAACAACTATAAGACTGACGGTATCTTAAAAACCAAATGCATGATCTGCAACACAGCAGTAGATGTTGATTAAAATAATGCATAATAATTTGTTAGAATACTAAATACCAACATTAACAACATTAGAACAAAAACGTACTTAGGACATGAAAGATTCCATCAACAGCACGTATATGCGAGAGGAATGCATTGCCCAGGCCATCCCCAGCGTGAGCGCCTCTAATAAGCCCAGCTATGTCAGTTACTTCCAGATACGCAGGCACCTGCACAGAATTTCAATGACCACAATGCACATGAAACACGATTTGAACAGTCATTTTACATCTGATGATCTGAAACATAACCTCAGAAGCTAGTTCATTACAATATGAGCCCCCTCCCCCCATTGTCTATGCCACTGAATATGAGTAAAGAAAAGAAACAAACCTCACTCTTTGGCTTGTAAAGTTTGCAAAGCCAATCAAACCGTTCATCTGGAACATTCACACGCGCCTCATTTGGTTCGATGGTACAGAAAGGGAAATTCTCGGCTGGGATTGCCAACTTTGTTACTATGTTGAAAAAAGTTGATTTCCCAACATTTGGCAACCCAACCTGCAGAAATATCAATCCGAAAACTGAATTAGGCCTCATCTTACTGACTTACATTTCCATCTTATCAGTGACAAACGTGAATGAATCAAGCGGCCGGTGATGGGATTATAGCCAAATACAAATGTAATTTTGCCATCGAGCTAATCACATTTGAGCACGAAACTTGATGCATAGTCAGCACTCAGCGCAGAATGACCAAACAATTGAACCATTCGTAGCTTAAAGAGTGACCAACACATGCAATCTAAAGGTAGGGCATTGTGATTTGAGAAGCCATGATAGTTCCAAAACAATAGCTGACTTAAGCTTTGTCATAAGTCAAACATCTCTAACTTTTACCAAGTTTTTGGAAAAAAAATGTATTAACATCTACAAGTTCAAATAAATGCACTACCAAGACATATTAATGAAACTAATTTGATGCATTTTTCTATAACTTGGTTAAAGTTAGGATAAAGCTAAAGTGAACTATAATTTAGATTGGACGGAGTATATAAGACTCACAAATGCCCTAGGCCTCTAACATGCCACTAAAGGAAGCAGTACAGCACCACAATAGCTATAGCTACAAGAGAAACATACAGAATTACTGCCAGATATATGCTACGTGCACACCACAACAAAAATATGTATCAGTGCTATTATGCCAAGTCATATCCTCAACAACCATAAGTAAAAAAAACAAGAAGCACAGAAACCAATAATAACCATTCGATCACACCTGGCACTCACTATCCAACTTCCAAGGAACAACACGATAGCAGGATAAGGTAAATCCGTGCCAACAACAATCCGAGCCTCTGAAGCGAATATCTCCGTGCACCAGGGGCAGCAAGCATACCGCGTGCCTCGAATCAATTAACCACGAAATCACAACCTAACACTCCCATCCAGGCATCCACAACTCATTAGCTCAGAGCCCGTAGATACTACCCAGAACGTCAGGCGAGCCCCACAGCCGCGCTGAGCTCGCTCGGTCCATTCGAGGTGCCCCAGAACGGCTACGAGATCCAGCAAATCGCAGCGGCTACAAGTAGAACTAGGGGGAGGGGAGTGTGCGTGGGGGAGGGGGATGGAATTGGGCTTACGATCCCGATCTTGAGGTGGGAGGAGAAGCGTCCAAGGATGGGGCGCTCAGCAGGCGCGGCGTCCTTCTTGGCCTTGGGAGGCATCGTCGGCGGTCGGCGGCGATGCGGCCGGAGGAACCTGGGATGGCTAGGGTTTTTGGTGGGAAGCGGAGGGTCGGCTCTCGCGGTTGCCGATCGAGTGGGGGAGATGAACACGGATTCGCGGCGGCTGGGCTGGGCTGGGCTGGGCTGTGAGATGGGCGATGGGATAGAGTTTTTTTTTTTCTTACACTCGGTTTTATGCTCGCGAGTTGTTAACTGGAGCAAGAAATTTACGCCACTATATATTGTCCACGTGACATTTTTTTTTTGTTGGCACCCTAAACGTTCTTAGTTGGCTGTACTTTGGAGATGGGAGACAGTTAAACCGCGACCGGTCGCGATATACGAGGAGCGCGGGGCGCTGTATTTGCTTTATAAAATATCTTTTTTTATGTTTTTCGGGGCAGGACATTATTTGACAAAACTTTGGTATGGGTCATTTTCCTCTATTTCTTTTAAAAGCAGAAAAGAAAGAAAGGAAAAGGAATATAGATACGTACATGCTACATTTACCTTACTTCATAGCGATGACAGTACAATACGAGGACGAAAACTTTAAGACGAGTGATGAATAGTAGACTTACTGCGAATCAATGTCCTTGTACATAACACACATACATCTGGAATTCTAATCTATATATACGACTCTAGGGCGCAAACAGAAATATCATGTTATGTGTGCATGGCCATTGTGTTGAGTCTCATCCTGTTTCATCATAGAGTAGAGCGACAATTGGCCCCGTTCGGCTGGCAGAATTTTGGCTAAAACTGATTGAAAAACACTGTTCTGGCTGAATTATTGTGAGAGAGAAACATTGTTCCGGCTAAAAAAAAGAAGCCGAATATGGAGTAAGCCGAATGGGGCCAAAGAGGGTAGATCAAGAATGGATAGTGAAATCGTCGGTAAGTAATTTAGCTAGAGATGCATGCATATACAATTGGAAAGGGAGGCATTAGGAATCGCATTGAAGCTAGACTTCGTATCCTTCCGCCTAGCAAGATGTTGAAGCGAGACGTAGCCATCGAGAAAGGAATCTATTAGTTGCACAAGTCCAGAGTTGTATGTACCCTTAGTGAAAGCGTGGAGGAGTTCAGACGCATATCGACGCATATCTGCCAAATGCCCGGTACAAGCAAATAGGGGGAGCGGATGAAAAGAGAGATTTTTTCTGTAATCGGCGACGCTTCCGGTGGGAGCAGTACCATCAATAATAGCAGATCTCTCACGTATAGGTAACTAGTTTAATCATGCATATTTTTTTTAGAATAATCATGCATCTTTTTTAATAAAGAAAAACATAGTCTAGCTTCATCTCTTATGGCTAGGAGAATCGGACCAACCATTATAATAATAGCCACGTGTCCAATTCGAAACTCAACGCTTCCGGTGGGAGCAGTACCATCAATAATTACCATTGTTAGGCCCCGTTTGTTTCCACTTATAAGCCGGTTGTTGGTGGAAATAAGCGAGAATCCCGTAAAACGCTTTGCTTATTTCCACCGATTCTCGCTTATGTGGTAAGCCGTTTCAGAGATTTAAACTACGAGAAGCGAGAAGTGAGAAGCGAGAAAATCTCCACTTAGATTATAATCCAAGCGTGGCCAGGAGAAGTGGAAACAAACGGGCCCTTAATATAGAAAAAAACAACTCAAGGTTTACATCCACGATGTGTGTCACCATGCAGATCATCTATTCATAACTGGTCCCCGTATGAGTGAGGGGACATCCCCTTCATCTCTCTAATACAATGAAACGTAGCTCTCCTGCGTTTTCAAAAGAAAAAAAAGAAAGAAAGCGATGATGATATTGATTTTGATGATAAATATAGAGCTTGAACTAAGGTTTCAATTAAACAGGCCAAACACACGTAGAGGCATGATGCAGAAGGGTGAAATTGGGATAACAATTGACAACCAAAGTCCATCATGAACCAAGTAAAGATAAAAACGAAAAATCTATGCAAGTATTATACTATAGCTATTTCTTATACAACTAAAAAGAATAAAAAATAGATATTTTTTTTGTTGTACGATATTTATTCCGTCTACCCAGCGATCCCCGCCTCCCATCCACGCGCAAATCGCTAAAACGCCGCAATCACCGCCCCCGCCCACCGTGCGTCCGATCCACGCCGACGCCAGCTCCCGCCCGCCGCCACCGCTCCGCATCCACCTCCTCTTCCTCTCCCCTGGCCGCAGCGCGCACGGATGCCGCGCCCGGCCACCTTGCCGTCGCCGCCTCCACGCGTCCGATCCGCCTCTCCCGTAGCAACGCACGCCGACGCTCCCTCTCTCTCCCTGCCCTCGCGCCGCCGCTCCATCACTGCGCTCGCCCACGCCATCGCACTCCATGGCCGCCCTACCCCAACGAGGCTAGGGTTTTCCGGCCCCCACTCCTCGAGGCAGCGCTGCCATCGCTGGTAGCCACGACGCCGCCGATGCCGCGAAGCCGCCGCTCCGCCCTCGCCGGCTCCGATTCGCGACGCGCGCTACACTCCTCCATCTACCCTGCTCCGGTGGCCCGACCCTGTGCTGCGCTACCACAGGGGCACCGGCGAGGGCAAACTCTAGCGGCGCGGTTGAGGCCTCTGGCGCGACCAGGTCCTCCTCTACTCCTCTCTCCCCATACGTCGCGCGGAGGAGGTACACACGAGCCCCGACATGTGGAGGCGCCGCGGAAGAGGCCAGACAGCCCGGCGTGCGACCCCGGTAGTGTGCAGCATCGGCGGCATAGGAGCACGCGAAGCCGGCGCGCAGCCCAGACGACACGGTAGCGCGCGGACCCGGCGGTGCGAAAGCCGCGGCCCTAGCACGCGAGCTTCCCCAGGCGGCCACGGTACGCGCGGACGTGGACCCCGCGGGCAGGAGGTGGCGCGGCCGGTCCACGGTGCTTCGGCGAGGCTCCCGGCGTGCTACCCTGGTTCGTTATCTTTCTCCCTGGCGGCGTCGCACGCTCTCGCTTGCTCGCTCGCTTCCCCCGGCGCGCTCGCACGCTCCTTCGCGCGGTGGACCCAAACGTCCTCTTTTCCCTGGCGCTCGCGCGCACGCTCCCCCGCGCGTGGACCAGGACGCGCGGTGAAACCGGATGTCCACCAGGCTCCAATCATGCTCTCTGCCCTCGCGAGATGCTGCCTCCAATCGCGCTCCTTCCGAGGATCACATGATCGGTCGCGCTCACACCGCCGCCTCCGCACGCCAGGTGCTCAAGTCTTGGTCGGGCCTTCGCCGGTGACGAGCACCCAACAGGTATGCTCACCCCTTCTCTTCCCTTTGTGCTGTGCGAAACCGAGCATCCGAACCCTGGCCCCATGCCCTGTCGCGCTCACGCCGCCGCCCTCCGCCATCCCGCATCCTGCCACCATTGCTGCTTCGCGCCGCCGGCGCACGCCAGGTGCTCAGGTCTTGGTCGGGCCCTTCGCCGGCGACGACCACCCAACAGGTATGAACCCTGGCTGTTTGTATTCGAATCTGATCTGATTACAAGTGTATAAATGTATTATGCCTACTAACTTTGATCCCTTTCTAAGGTTACGAGGCGTACATGTGCACGCCCAATGTCCTTTACTGGATCTGCGTTTGCTGTTCTGTGTGGTTTGATATACTTTGCTCTGAATGTGTCCTAGCCCTTGTGCTTCCCATCCTCCCAACCTTGGCGTGCTTTGATCTGCTTTGCCCATGTGGTCAGGCCAACGGTATCTTTGCTGCTGCTGCTGCCAATCTACTGTTTCTCTGTTAGTGTTTGTGAGGAGGTTACTAATTGGGGATTTGGGGAGTAATTATTGTGCCCGTGGCCTCTGATTATAGTTGCTGCAGAGTTGCACGACTTTGTGAATGAAGACTTGGCAAAGTTGTATCCTGATCTAAAGAAGTATGTTAACATTTCAGTAATTGAAGCAGGAGGTCAATATCAAAATTATCGTTTAATTAATTTGTTACTACCACTGATTTGATACTACAACTGATTCCTCGACGCAACAGTGGCGCTGCGCTTCTCCTATACTCCCTCCTCGCTGCGACATTGGAGAGGCAACAACAAAAGATCCAGGTTTGGCCTCACTCCCTTATGTTCAGAATGTTTTGGAATTCTGCAAATGACCAATGATAGGATTGAATGGCTGAACAATGCATGTTACTTTGCTGCCTGCAGTCAGCTTGTTCTTTATTGTCTCGCACAGGGAATATAATCACGATTGATCAAACATAAATTAAAAATCAACCTCACCGTAACAGCTATTAGAAATACAGCCCACTAGCCACCGGTAACCAGAAGTCCAAAACTGGTTTTGCATGCACAAACAGGTGAGGAAGGTTCTGTATTGCCTTGTGAGACTTGTGCAGTGGTGTACATGGTTCTGTATTTCTTTCATTTCACTGTCTTATCTTAGAGAATGCATTGAGCAGCAGTTCAGTAACTAACGGGCCTCAGATTCACTCATGTGAAATCATCGTCAAGGTAGCACATAAATTTCCTAAAAAATGGCCCAATATCCTTATGTGTTTCCAGGCATTATCCTTTTTGCCAATCTTTCAGGAACCCACCTACTACAGTCGACCAGGGATTTTCACTTATGTCTTTAATAGCTAAAGGGAGGATGAAAATAGTTACTTGAATATCCACATGGACGATGAAATTCACTGTAATTTGTATGTCTGGTGTTTTCCTTATATGTTACTGGTGATGGCACACTAAAGAGAACTAGTTACTTTCATTTTTCAATTCTCCAGTCAGAGCATTTCCTGTTGATTTTTTTAAATGGTACAGTTTTGTTAGTTGCTTGTCTTGCCATTTGTTTCGGAACCAAGTCTGCTGGTCTGACATGAATATGGATTTTATGATTTAAAAAATGAGTAAAATATATTCAAAACATTACAGCAGCTTTCATTCTAAAAAACCAAGGATCATTATTATTTTCCTCACATGTTAGCTGGTCTGAAGGGCAGGCCTAGTGCAAGCGGTAGAGTCTTACCACCTGTGACCGGAAGGTCCCGGGTTCGAGTCGCGG